GAAAGGAAACAAAGAAGCTCCCCCAGGAGTAGAAAGTAAATACGCAGATTGAAAGCCGGTATTCAAATATCGTGAACCTACAGACCCGACCCATCACTATGTCGCAGTGTGTGAAATCGACAGCAGCCAGACCGGCTCTCCATACGACATACATAATGGAATAAGTCCCATCCTGTATAAGTTCCAAAGTTCGCCAGCGTCTGGGAGTGCAATCAGGAGTGGGAGATGCGGCCGCCCCGGCGCCGGCGGGACGCGGGGCGGGCCGCGGGCTGCAGGGCGGCGGGCGCGGAGCTCGGCCTGGCCGGGCCGGCGGCTCCTAGCACCGGGCGGGCGGCGGCGGCGGCGGCGGCGGCGGCACTTCCGGGTTGGCCTTCTCCATGTTGATCTGCGGAACGTGAAGGGGCGGGGCCGGGCGGGGCCTCGGGGTCAGGGGTCAGCGCCTCCCCGGTTGCCATGGCGACGGGGCGCGCGGCGCGGGCGCTGCCTCCGGGTACCTGGTGCTGCCGAGGCCTGGTCCGTTGCTGGGCGCTGGAGCCAGAAGGGCCTTCGATGGGAGACCCCGGGAAAGAGCTGGGGACGGCTCGGAAGAGGGGGCCCGGGGCCCGGGAGACGGCCTGAACGAGGGCAGAGGCCCAGTCTGCGTCTTCGAGGGCTGGGCACTTGGCCTATGCAGCCTCGTGCTGGCACTGGCCGTCCACGGTGGGACCACTCGGACCCCTCGGTGGCCGAGAGCTCACGTCGCTCTCTTCTCGCCCGCCCTTGTCTTCCGAAGACGTTTGCGGGTGGCAGTCCCTGCCCGGATGGAGGGAGAGACCCTCGGCCCCAGCGGCCTGCGTGACTGGCGGGGCCATTTCCGCGCTAAGCCGCGGTGTTCCCGCCGAGCAGTGGGGCCCCCTGGTTCCCACCCGGCAGCCGGGGCCCCCTGGTTCCCGCCGAGCAGTGGGGTCCCCTGGTTCCCACCCGGCATCTGGGGTCCCCGCGTTCCCACCGAGCAGCGGGGTCCCCGCGTTCCCACCGAGCAGCGGGGTCCCCGCGTTCCCACCCGACAGCCAGGGTCCTCTGGTTCCCACCCCGCAGCCGGGGTTCCCTGGTTCCCACCGAGCAGCGGGGTCCCCGCGTTCCCACCCGGCAGTCGGGGTCCCTGTGTTCCCACCCGGCAGCGGGGGCCCCCTGGTTCCCACCGAGTAGCGGGGTCCCCTGGTTCCCACCGAGTAGCGGGGTCCCCTGGTTCCCACCCAGCATCTGGGGTCCCAGCGTTCCCACCCGGCAGCGGGGTCCCCGTGGCGTCGGGGGCCGGGTCACGACGGGGCCCTGCGGAGTGCGCACTGCCTGACACCTCCGGTTTGCTGGGCTCCTGACCCGGCCTCGTACACAGCTGGGGGCGGTGTTAGGATACTCCTAGCTTTGCCAGCCCCGGGTAGCGGGTAGCGGGGTTGAGCCGCCACCTCCGAGGCCTTTCTCTCCTGTCTTCCCAGGCAGGGTCTCTGGGGGCCCCGTGTGTCCTGCAGCTCCTCCGGACCGGCCGGCGTGCAGTCAGCGCTCATTCATTGGATCTCTTCGTGCCTTGATGATCCCCTTAGACAAGACTAGTTCTGAGAGTCAAGCAGTATGATACACTGGAAACCACTTTTGTTTTTTAAGATTTATTTATTTATTTGAAAGGCAGCATTACAGAGAGGCACAGAGAGAGAGAGAGGCAGAGAGAGAGAGGTCTTCCATCCGCTGGGTCACTCCCCAGATGGCCGCAACGGCCTGAGTTGGGCCAATGTGAAGCCACGAGCCAGTCGGATCCAGGGACTTGGCCATCTTCTGCTTTCCCAGGCCGGAGCAGAGAGCTGGGTGGAACCGGCGCCCATTTGGGATGCGGGCACTGCAGGCTGCAGCTTTACCTGCTACCCCACAGCCTCAGCCCCTCGAACCCACTTTTTCGACTTGGAATGGCCGTCAACCTGTAAGGTACTGTGGTTATTATTTTCACACAAGGTTTAAAACTTGTACATTGGAGGCAGATTTTTCCATCTTTGGGAGCCAGTGTATGAAAAGGCCACGTGTGGGAAGCAGCACAGAGCCCTCGTAGGTCGAACACAGCATCTGGATCCCAGAGTGGGCAGTGTCAGCTTTAAAGAAAGATATTCTTAAGGATTTTTTAAAGACTAGCTTGGAACAGTCAGCGTTGGAATTTCACCAGCATCTCCAGGGAGGAACAACTTGACACCTGAAATTCAGCAAAACAAAATAAGCATCAGGAAATCAAATTTCATTAAGTTTAGAATTTTCATTAATGGCATTTTAAAGGCTTCGTGGCTCTGTTAAAGGTTGTGCTTCAATAAGCAATAGGCAATTAATTGTCCTAGTGGATGTGTGTTTCTAGAGAGCTTAAATTGTTTGGTAAGCTTTGTTAATGATTATAAACATGTTTACACGTGTGGCTTCACTCATCTCTGAAATACAGCCATCTAGGGTGGCAGTTGACAGCACTAGTTCCCAGCAATGCAGCAACGAACTCCAACACAAGTCAGAGGGTGCTCAAGGCTCAGCAACTGGCATCGCTGACCTCGCTGCTCAAGTTTGTTTTGAGTTTTCCCAAAACCCAGCTAGAGCCAAAAGTCCTTAGCTTTGCTAACTGGCACCATCAGAAGTTAGCACTTAATATCTTTAAGCCAGGATAAGAAAATAGCAAGCTTTTGCTGCCCCCCCCCCCGGAAGGAGGAAGCAAATAAATAAACCAAATGAGTTAAATAGAATCTGGAATTATATTATGCAACAGAAGTAATTTCCTGTAGAGTGTTTCTCTCTTTGATTCTATTTAGAGAGTAAAGACATGTCCACTGTGTCAAGTATCTGCTTGATTTACAGTGAAAAATAACGGTAATTACTCAAGACCTGGGACCCAAGTGGTTCTGCCCAAATGTTTATTGTCCTAGCGTTTTGAAAATTCTTTTTACTCATTTTAAGAGCTACATGGACAGTAATGTGAAGAGGGGAGAATGGCGTGCAGCAGAGTGACATACCAGAAGCAAAGAACTCTGCTCTTATTATTATTATTATCCTATGACTAATGATATGTCCGGAAATGTTTGGTACAATTCCAAAATCGAAGGCTTGGGGAAAAAATATATTTCATAGGAGAAAAGTGCTGAAAATTCTAATTTTAAACTTGTTGCAAAGCCTGCTGTGTTGAATAAGACTTGACCAGAAAGTTAAAATGGTAACTGTTTACACCCCAGGAGCAGAGGATGGCACAAATAAAAATATTCCCAAGTGCTACAACTTGTCCCTCAAGGAGCCTTGTCCCAGGGTGGTGGAAGATTTGCTTTGGACATCAGCATCTCACTATCTGTTGTACAGCGGTTCTAATGCCCTCCACATTTAAACCCCCAGCTGGGCTGAGCGTGTTAATGCTGCCATTTACATTAGGAAGTGGGTAGTAATTATTTTCCAGCTGGAGGTTCAGAAACCTGCGGGTAACAAGAGGCTTTCTCAAGGTGTCATTACAGTCTCCAGACTTCAGACACACACCCCTTAAATATGTAAACGGCTGAAACGTGTATAAAATTCACACAGGAACACACAGAGCAGAGCCTCTGAGTTACATTAAAGCTACATGGATTAGTCCGGCGCCGCAGCTCAACAGGCTAATCCTCCGCCTAGCGGCACCAGCACACCGGGTTCTAGTCCCGGTCAGGGCGCCGGATTCTGTCCCGGTTGCCCCTCTTCCAGGCCAGCTCTCTCCTGTGGTCCGGGAGTGCAGTGGAGGATGCCCCAAGTACTTGGGCCCTGCACCCCATGGGAGACCAGGAGAAGCACCTGGCTCCTGCCTTCGGATCAACGCAGTGTGCCGGCTGCAGCGCGCCAGCCGCGGCGGCCATTGGAGGGTGAACCAACAGCAAAAGGAAGACCTTTCTCTCTGTCTCTCTCACTGTCCACTCTGCCTTTAAAAAAAAAAAAAAAGAAGAAGAAGAAGAAGAAGAAAGCTGCATGGATGATAGACCAATTTCCACATGACCAATCAGAAGTAAAACCGTATTTAGGGCCGGCACCGTGGCTCACTTGGCTAATCCTCCGCCTGCGGTGCCGGCACCCCGGGTCTGGTCCCGGTCGGGGCGCCAGATTCTGTCCCAGTTGTTCCTCTTCCAGTCCAGCTCTCTCCTGTGGCCCGGGAAAGCAGTGGAGGATGGCCCAAGTGCTTGGGCCCTGCACCCGCATGGGAGACCAGGAGAAGCACCTGGCTCCTGGCTTCGGATCAGCGCAGCAAGCTGGCAGTAGCAGCCATTTGGGGGGTGAACCAACGGAAGGAAGACCTTTCTCTCTGTCTCTCTCTCTCTCTCTCACTAACTACTCAGCCTGTCAAAAAAAAAAAAGTATTTGGAAAATTGATCTGAAGTTGTAATAACAGGGGCTGGCACTGTGGCATAGAAAGTTAAGCCTCTGCCTACAGTGCTGGCATCCTATGTGGGTACAGGTTCAAGTCCCAGCTGCTCCACTTCCCATCTTGCTCCCTGCTAATGTGCCTGGGAGAGCAGTGGAATATGGCCCAAGTGTTTGGGCCCCTGCACCCACGTGGGAGACCTGGATGAAGCTCCTGGCTCCGGGCTTCAGCCTGGCCCAGCCCTGGGCTTTGCAGTCACTTGAGAAGTAAACCAGCAGATGGAAGATTCATATTCTCTCTCTCTCTCTCTCTCTCCTCTCTCCTTCCCCCATTCCCTCCTTCTCTATCCGTATCTCTGCCTTTCAAACAAATCTTTAAAAACAGAAAGTTGTAATAGCAACTGACTAGTGAGGAGGGGAACTGGTGATTCGTGTTTATTTCCTCACTGGACTGACTGTTGGCACACAGTCTGCGATGCAGGAGAAGCATGTAATATGCAGTGAAA